TAAATATAGTAATAGCTAACCCTTTAATATAATCAATAGTTCTTTTAATATAAGAATTCTTAAGCACTTGAGCAAAATTGATTAAAAATAAATTTAATTAGATAAGTGTATTAAAACTTAATACTTTTAAATTCAAATAACTTAATTGAAGGTTAACATCATTTAATTATGATATAAAAATTTAATACTTATCAATTCAAATAACTTAAATGAAGTTTAGTATCTTTTAAATTATGATTCTTTGAATAATAATTGGATATTAGTTAATTATTTTAAGTAGCAAGGTGATTGATATTCAAAATTATTAAATATGTTTAACCAGATTTATATAGTAATTCTTAAAAAAGATAGGCACAAACATTGAAAGATTGAAATACATAAGCATATGAGGAGAAACTTGAGGTTAAGCCTAAAAAAAAATTAGTATCAATCATTTTGTCTAACTTAAAAAACCAAAAGTTTTCTTGATTAAAATTGATAGAATTATATTTAGAATGAAAATTCTAAAGTAAGATTATTTGGCTGAAAAAATGACTAAGTTTAAATATACTTATTAATCTATGTTATTTTAGTCAAAATACATTCAATAATTTAAGGATAATTATATTAAAAGAATATTAAAAGTAGTATTGTGAAGATATAATTAAATAATATTAATTTAATTTTTTTAATAATATTTATACACTTTTATTGTATATAATTATTATAATACTAAATAATAATGAATTAGGAGATAAAAGCTACCATATTACTTCCAGTCATAAACTTGGATATAGAAAGACTTATGGGTAAAAATTGTGCAAGTTTGGGAGAATTTGATATGTATGCCAAATAGTGTATTTTATGAGGTTCTTTTCTTTCATTTTATGTCATTTTTATAATTTTCCTTGATATATTTGTGTCACATCGATTAGACAACCATTATAAAAATTGATCTAGCGCCCATAACATAGCGCCACAGTTCCCCATTGATAGCACCTCAACACCGATGAAGTGGTGTTATAGCGCTCGAAGATGGATTTTTTTGGGTTCAAAAACTTGAGAATATGACACTATGATGTTAGAGGCCGCCGCTCCAACTCCCATGTAACATCACTTCAACACCCTAAACCCCACAGCGCAATTCAATAATGCCCCAAGCCCTAATTCAAAGTTTGGACTTCACGAAAGTGGCACTCTATTCTAATGTTGCCACTCCTCATAGTAGCTTCGCAACGCTACCTAGCGGTGCAACAACATTCATAGTGCCACATTATTGCTTCATTTTCTGAGTGAAGAGTGATAGTGAAAGTGAAGGAAGCAAATAAGAAGATCAAGTTGGGTGAAGCATATGTTTGGGAGCAAGGATTTCTTTCTGGGTTGTTTCTATCTAATTTTCGTTGCAAAATTTGGTCTGACTCTCACAGAATTGCATGTTTGTGTTTTCACTCTTATTTAGTACTTAAAACATTCATTCTCTGGATTGTTTTTAAAAATCTAAGTGATTTCATGCATGATTCTTGTGTATGTGAATGATTTTTGCTTATGCTTTAACCTTTCAAATTATAATTTGCGCTTTAAACAAGTCATTTGATTTATTGAAACATGTTGTAATTTAGGACTATCAAATGAAGACTAGAAGGGAAAATAAACTAAAGAACAAACATTTTGTGGAATAAGAATATTGTCATTGAATGTTCACAATCTCTATGAGGAATGATGATTCGTATTTGTTATATCTTGGAGGATAATAAGACACACTAGTCCTTGATTGTCTTGTATGATAGAGAATCTTGTGAAGGAACTTAGGCCTTGCTTAAACCAATTCTGAGAAGATTTTAAAACATTTGAAACTCATTACCTCACCTTATATTTTCACCAAATAAATTGGTACTCTTAAAAACCTTTTAAAATCAAAATCTACTTTGAATTAAACTATGAATAAATAGACTTTTACATAAACTAATTTGAGAAATAACAAAGGTTTACTTGAGATTGATCACTCAAACTTAAAAATATGAATACTACTTGAGCAACACGTATACTTGCATGATAGACACTTGCACCATTGCATGGTGGATAACAAGCATAGAATAAATTCTAAGATTTACTAATGCTTATCTTTAGAAAAATCCAAATTAGCTATGTTTATTTATTCCAATAAGTATCACTTTCAAAATTGATATTTTTCATTTAATTCATTTAAGTGATAAGTCTCGGTTTTTTTAATATTATGCAATCAAAGATTGTAATGGACAATCAATAATTGATTAGCCAATTAAAATATCTCAAATGGGACTTGTCATTCTCTAAGGCTCGACTAAATAGAAATCAAGCAAAGGTTCCACTTTTACCACCCTTACCTTCGCATTCTCTTCCTTCTTTCCACCACCTCAGGTGCTTAGACTCACTAATCCCACAAATCCACCTTCCAATAGGATTGACTTAATCAAGGATTTAAGGCAAAACACAGGGGAAACGAGCTTTAAGATTCTATAGGATTTGAAGTTGCCATTTTTGCTATTTAGTAGGATTTAGGTTAAATCCTCATACCAAATAGCCTTTATAGGTATAACATATTGAAGCTAAACCAATCCAAAATACCTCAAATGCCTCACAGTGCCTAGGGGCGAGAATTTAGCTCGAAGATCGTTAATCACTAAAAAATCAATTTGAATTTTGGTTCGTATTGAAATAAATAAGCTGAGCTATGAGCTAAAGCTATGCATCATTTTTTTTTAGCAGATTATAAGTTACATATGAATTTTTATGATTGTCCTTAGAGATGATTACAATTCATAATGAATCAATTTTTTTCAAGCTGACAAAATAATCTTTTCCCATGGAAAAGCTAGATGTCATTGTTTTGCTTTTGTTTATTGTAAGAACTTCAAACTTTATTGAATGATTGTCATGAGCTTGTTCCCTGAATTGAGTTAATAGATTAGGACATTTTTATAGAGCAACCCTTGAGATTTGAGAATATGATTTTTTAGATCGTATATTTAAATTGAAGAATCTATATATGAATTGAAACAAACTTTTATAACTTGGTATGATAAATTGAGTATTTTTTATTAATAATAAATTTATGAAGGGTAAAATGGATAACAATTATTTCACCATAATACTAGGAGATAATATGATTTATATTTAAGTTATTGTATATGATATAATATTTTGGAAGTACAAATGGATATTTTTGTTAAGAATTCTCATATACAATAAGTAATTTGAAATGAGCATGTTATGAGAACTCATATCTTAGGATTTAAGTGAAATAATTAGAAAATGTTATCTTCATTTCTAGGTATATTAATGAGTTACTTGAAATATTTGAAATGAAAATATTCAAATCTAGTAATACTTATGTAGAAAATTAGATTTTTAGAGAAAAAAATTATTTGATTTTATAAGTAGGGTGGATACATAGGGAAATCATTCCCTCCTAATTTACAAACTTCTCAAATATATCCAACATAAATTAGGAAAGAAAATAATTTTGAAATAAATAAAATAAAGAAACATAAATTGGAAATAAATAAACACATATCAAAGAGTTTCCAAATTGATATTCAATAAAATCTCCCATAAAATCTTGGATAGCCTGCTGGTTCATCCTAGGAAGCACCACCTAAAGCTTCTCAAATTTTCACACCTCAAACTCGATTGTAGAGGTTGTAACTGAAGAGTTTTGGTGGAGACATCAGCAACTTGTTGGTGTGTTGGGATGTAACATAGCAACATAATTATCTTATTGACCTTTTTAGAGATGAAGTGTCTATCAACTTCAATATGCTTGATCTTGTCATGATGCAAATGATTCCTAGCAATATTGATAGATGCTGGGCTGTTACAAAATATCTGTATAGGTCAATTAGAGGTACATCCCAATTTCCTTAAAATTTGATTTACGATTTTGGCTCATAACTCAACTTGAAAAAAACTTTCAAGTCAAACAAGTGATAATGACATCCTTCAATCAATAACATTGAATCAAATCTATACATTTATCCGTGTAAGCATGAGATCATTTAGGATAGATTAAATTTCCTTGCAGCATTTATGTAGATATCACCTAATTTTTATGTATTTACATATTTTAACATGCAAACTTTATTTTTATGTTTATACCATCCAAAAATTTTACATCATATCAAAATTATCACTATTTTAAAATTTTAACGGTGAAACACACTTTTTTCATGTGTCATTTATATAAAATTTTATGTTTAGGTGTTATATATATGTAAATCGATGAAAATTAAGTGCTCCATATTTAAATTATTTTTTATTTATTTAAAGATCCCGCCTCATGTAAAGAACCATCTTCATCCAAATCAAACTCAAGAAAGTGCAACTTATGATCCTTAGGCTGTACTCGATAGCTAAGTATATCATAGTTTGGACAATGCTTGATCGAATCTTACATTGTTCATATTCTATTTAAGTTTGAGCTAAACACGTATATATGTGTTCATCCATCTTCATCCAAATCAAACTCAAGAAAGTGCAACATATGATCCTTAGGCTGTACTCGATAGCTGAGTCAAGTATATCATAGTTTGGACAGTGCTTGATCGAATCTTACGTTGTTCATATTCTATTTAAGTTTGAGCTAAACATGTATATATGTGTTCATATTTAAATAAATAAACAATTAAATAAATTTTAAATTAGCATCTAATTTATTTATATCAAGCATATAAAATAATATATACATTATAAGTAAGTTTTAATGTAATTAGATAAAATATATAATATTTTGAAAAAAATATTTAAATATCATACATATTGATATTAAATTATTATATATTATTATTAAATATATAAATAAATATTCTTTTATGGATTAAATTTTATTTAAATAATAAATAAAAAAATTATTAATTATTTATTGAATAATAAATGAGCTTATTTATTAATAATAATAAATGAGTTGGATTAAATTCCATCCGGGTTTAAACAAATCTTCCTAACCTTGTATATTTATAAATTGAACCTAAGTCGAAATCAAGTTGCTAATCAAGTGCATGTCCTGCGACGTTTTTCTGGCGCACAATTCATCCGCGATCAGGTGCATAATCTGCCACGTGTCACAGGTCCAGTTGCGGTGGAGTTTTAATCTTCGAACCCTAATTTCTTTTCTCCGAAATGTCTCTCTCTATCCATGTTATCGAACCCTAGACCCCATCCCCGATCTTAGTCGGAGGTGTAAATTGGCTTCTTCAACTCCATCCAAAAGTGTTATTAGTTTCTTCAATCAATCATTGGATTGCGCTGTTGCTTTCATCTGCTGCAACTTATTCCGGCCGACGAAAGCTCTCTCTCAGGCGAGCGCAGCTCCTCCCTGAGTTTCTCAAGTTATCTCGTATAATCACATCTTTGTCATCATTTTGTGGTATACTCTTTGACCTCTCCATTAGTTTTTCGTTTTTTAATAGTTTCAACTTATTGCCATTTGGGCATCTGCGAATTTCTTTCTTCTTCTTCATTCCATAACGACGTTGTTCTTCTCTGCCTCGATTTCGTCAGGAGCACGACCACCTCTCTTCTTGGGAGCTTGTGTTGTTTCATAATTCATGCGTCTTCTGTTTGGAAACGCTTCAGATTCGTCATCTTCGTTAATTTATTCAGCTCCCTTCCTTCTTTTATTAGTAGCCTCATTTATGAATCCAGAATTTGTCCCCAAATAAAAACACCGCTAATACCACTAATATTTTGTGAGGCTGAATGTTTCGGAGTGAATTAGATGTTAATGTTATTAAGACATCAAAGTTATTAGATATTTGTGTTCTGTTAAACACTATGCATTTGATTCAATGCTATTGATTGAAGGATGCCGTCATTACCTAGATCGTGAGTGTTTATGATCGTGGCTTTTTATGAATTTAAACAAAGTTTCCCCACATGATTGAGCCATTAATAATCGTGTTATTTATTCACTCCAACTATGTTAGCAAATGAAAAATTACATTTAAACTAGATAAGTAATTATAAATGCAGGAATTTTATTAGGCATGCATTTGTTTTAGCTTGGTATTTGTCAGATTTTGACCAATGGAGCAGTGAGGTTCTCTTACTGTAAGCAGTAAATTGGTTTGTGCTTGTTCATCTATTCTACATAAATTTATTCTAGATTTGAGGAGCTGGCTGCTTGAGCTCATGTGTTCGATACTCTTCGCCACCTTCTCATTGCCCATGTTGTCAAAAAATCTTTTGAGGTTGTTCTTCATGACAAATGTTGCATTTATGTTGGAAGCATCCATGGTAGTGAAGCAATTTTTGTGCGATATTGAGGTGGATGATAATGACTCAATTGTGAATCAGATGCAAGTGATAGAGATGATGATGAAGAGTCAACCTCATTTATACTTATTTTGGTATTTTTAATGTTATTTGAAGACTTTTGGGTTATGTGAGCAAATTCAAAGTCTTAGGTGTTAGATATGTAAATAGCATAGTTTCAAGTGGTATGTATTTAAATCTCCCTAATTAATAATCTTTCTAATTAGGATTACATAATTACATCAGTATAAAGATATTGACTTATTTCAAAAAGGTGATTGCCTCTATCTCAGATGATATTGAGCTCTAGTATTGGTTTTTCCTTTCTCCTACACGAGCATGTCATTAACATATTATATTGCAAGTCATACTACAGGAAGGTAGCTGTTGGAAGAATGACAAAGTAAAGGTTTAATATATAAAAGCGATGAGTTCGAATGAACTTAACATTTTCATTTTCATTAACATTAACATGCCTTTTATCCTTAATTGATGTAGCACATCCTGTAGATCAAATAAATGAAGTTCAATGTCTATTATAAGAGCTCAAGCAGGAGCCCAGGAAAGTGCTCAATCAAGAACCTATCCTAAGAGCACAATAAAAAAAATATTGAATTTGTATCATATTATTTAAATTTTAAATTTAGTTTCTGGATGTTTTGATCTTTCAAATTTGGAGGTTCGTATGAGTTTTTCATAATAAAAATAATTTATGAAGGAGATTACCTTCATTTATTAATGACCACCTATCTTTTCCTCAAGTTTTTTTTTTATTTGAATTTTTTTGGATGAACGCTTTATAAGTAGGACTAGTTTGTAATGAACTATTTAAATTCTTAAATGAAATATTTTAGTTATAGTTTTTTCTCTTTTTTGCTTGGTGCTTGGTGGCGTCGAGTGTGTATTGTTTTAGGTGAAATTAAGTAATTATATATTTTTTAAAAGCTATTCTCTACTCATCCATACCAACTTTTTTAAACTCCTCACCACTCGTAATCCCATTTCTAAATATCTTTAAGATTAACAAAACAACTATCAAAGCCTCTCAACAATTCCAAACACCTCATAGATCTGACTAAGCTAAATAACCTTAAGGCCTAATATTGTTCCCTACTCCTCAACACCTGTAGAAACTCATCTAAATCCAAACATCCACTTCGGATTTTAAGTACACATCATAAGCTAAGCATCCATGAGCATTTGTAAATATTTACCCTAAAACTTCTTTTTAAAAAATAATATTTAAAATTAGACCAAACTTAGCCCAATCTGGACTAGTCTTGGTATTTTTGTCACCATAACCTCTCTAATCCTTCATCACTCTATCACAAACTCCTAAGCACTTCTTCATATATTAAAATAAAGATTCTAATTATTTCACACTCTTTAGTCTCACCAAAAGTTACCTATCACCATCATATTTGATATCAGAGCAAATCTAGGAAGGAGAAAATCTGGCCAAAAGCTTTTAACCATGAATAATTTTTCTTTTTTTTTTTATGATGGATGTGGTTTTAAAACTTTTAAGTCGCTTGAGCAAGTTTAAGGGTAGTAATTTGTTTTATGATCGATTTATTGCATATTATTAGCTTGAAAATGTAGCATAATTTCTATAAATTTATGGTGCCATTATGATATCTAATTAGCAACTTCCACTTTAAACCTTGACTCACTTCCCTTGTGTGAACCTATCATTAAACTTTGTCTTGAGTGAAAACTTTTAAAAGGGAGTGCTCCACTTAAAAAAAATAAAAAATAAAAATAAAAAAAATAATAAAATATATA